CTCAATAACAATGGTGCCGTTGTTTCTTTCGTAGATGTTAGCGATTTTCAAATTTTCCGGGTTTATCTTGTTGTTTAGGTCTTGCTTTGTTTTTGCAATATTTTGTTTGGATTTAGGTTTGATCACGAGAGGCACTTCTTTTCTGAATTCTGGCACTTTTTCTACCCTTTTGGGTTTGTTTGCTTTTAGTGCTTCGGCATATGAAGCTTGCTTTGAACTGTGCGGCTGTAAAGCGTTACTTTGGATTTCCTTTAGCTCTTCACAAATTTTTTTGTTTTGCTTATTATTGCTTTCGATTTCATCGCGCACTTTCTCGTTATGGGTTTTTATCGTTTCTGCAATTTCACGAAATTTTTTAACTTCTATGGCACCCTCTTCACATACCCGTTTCACTTCTTTCATATTTTCCAAACGCTGGCTGAATTTTTTTTCGACTGCTGTTAGCAAGAGTTTTAGCTCATTTTCGCTTTTTTGCTGGGCTTGCATTAAGCTGTCATGACTTTTAGCTAGTGCTGTTTCGAAATGGTTTTTGTATTCGCCCAGTTGTTCACAGAAGCGTTGACCATCCTTTGCCATTGTTCGTTGCATTTTTTCAAGCACTTCATCGATGTTGTGGATGAGTGTAAAGCAGTCATCGCACATAAATCTTACAAAGGGCCTATCCAAAACTCCTTCCGCGTAATCGTCTAAGCCACTACATTTAACCGTGCGGTGGAATCGTTTTTGGCATGCCCCTTGACATATTATGAAGCTATCATTGCGAAGCGACTTATTACATTTCGAGCAATCCATATTGTCGCGCCGAACTCGCGACCGAAAATAAGAACGCTAAAAACGTACCAAACCGCACGAGTCTGATTAACTGATCCTTAGTTTTCACTAAGAATCAACTATATAAGTATATATAAATATTAGTTAATATATAAAAATTAATATGAAATGATGTTAATTTATAGTTTATGCGTCCTTTCGCTTATTTATTTAATTTAATTATTTAGCAAAAATTTAGAAAAAAAATTATTTAGCAAAAATTTATTACACTATTACACAATAACACGTATTAGTGTTGTTTTTTTTTTTTTTTTTTTATCGATGTGCAACACTGTTTTTCTTATATTATTTTCGAGCTTTTGGGCTTCAAGTGCTGTCTCTATCAGCTGTTTTAAGTGAATGTGATGGAAGATGGAAAAACAAATTTATCAAACTGATTTTGCAAATTAAATTTACTTTGCTAGAATACACAGTGATTTAAATTTACAAAAATTTCACTTTTCACCCCGAAATAGTATACTAGCTTAATAGTTTAAACTTTAAAGTTACTTGCTCAGGTGATTTTAGCAATTTTCGGGTCACTTCCGACGCTTTTTCGGTCAAAAACATTAAAAGTCACGGAGCGGTTTCAAATTGCGCGCACTTTGTATGTAAGCTATATATTTATATATATATATATATTATTTATATATGTTGTACTATAATTGTATTAATTTCAGTGTATAATTGGTAAACAAATTTTTCCACTAAACGGCGTTTTTGATAAACTTTAGTATATGAGCATTTTTCCCATAAGATATAGCTTGACTTTTGAGATACTGTTATATCGACTTAGAGTACAATGGAATATTTTGCTCGTAAAAACTATAATAAACGGGTATAGTTCGGTTCTGTATGAGTGGGATCCTCTTTATTAACGCATATTCTATTTCAGATTCCGTATTTTTATTTTGCCTAAATTAAAGTAAGAACTTGTCATCATGTTATGGAGAAATTGTATATTTATATATATATCTATTAAATCAGCATAAATATCCATATCAATTTAACAATGTACCACAACGACTAGGAATTTCAAAATGTCTGTGTTATATGTAGTAGTTTTAAGCTTTTTTTTATATGTTTACTTTAGCAATATTAGGTCTGTTCCACGAGCTACTCATAGTAACATATGAGTAAAACAGAAGTAAAATTTACAAAAAATACTTGAAAATTTGCTGGTGGAACGCGCTTGTGTATACACAGTGTTTACTCAAAGTTACTATGAGTAGCTCGTGGAACAGACCTATTGATGCAAACAAGTAGGAAACAATCTCTAAAAAAAATTACATAATTGCATTTACGTTCTCACTCTTTTTTCTAAAGTATTGAATAACTTTTTCTTTCACTTGTTGTAGCAACTTTTAGTTACTTACATTGTTTTTAAATAATTAATTTTGTTGTTATTGTGTTATAAAAATAATTTTAATAATTTTAATAATTGAAGTGTGTCATAAATTTCCGTTTTTCTGTGCTTAATGCTGATAAACCTTGTGCTGATAGTCTAATCCGTCCCTCATTTTTTTGTTTTCACACAATTCTATGCTTCTATTTGCTTTTGTTAAATAACACATATGCAGTCAGTCATCGGCTCTGTATATTGTTTTTTTAGTATTATATTTTTTTTTTCTTACTTTATATTTTAATTAAAATGTTTTTAAATCTATGCAACTTGTAAAGAAGGTTCAACGTATTCATAAGAATGCAGTAGAACCTAGAAAATGGCATCAAATATAAAAAATAAATAGCGTGCGATTTTGTCGGCGTATCTATATTAAAACGTATGTTATAAACGAAAATTATATAAAAATAGTTATAATCTATCTACTCATGAGCTTGTTATATTCATTTTAATTATATTTAAAATCATTAAACTTTGAATTACACTCTTTCGACATCGGTCATATATATAGTATACGTCGCGAGTATTTAGTACCGGAAAACATTGCAAGTTGAAAGAATGTCACTAATTGTATTAGAGCAAGGTATAGTTCCAACATAAATTTTTTAAATTTTATTTTTATTGCAAAATGATGCAGAATTTTCCGAGTAAAATATCATAAAGTATGATATAATAATATCATACTTTAATAATTAAAACTTGATGTCTAACATTTATATTATCTTGAGGATTGTGTGATATTATGTTCGTTTTTATTAATTTTCATTATTTCTTTCACGAATCTAAAAATTATCATTCTTTGAATACAATTTTCTTTACTCTTGAATCTTAAACATAAATCTTCTAATTTAATTAAAAATACTATTTTCCATATTTCATATATTTCTTTGTATTGCATACCCATAAGTTGTACACAGACCATGTCTTAATGGGTGTGTGGATATATCTGTAATAGTTTACTGTGTCTGTTTCCATTTCTGGAAAATATGTAAAAATTGAGCGTAGATACACCTTACAGATTTTTATTTTTTTTTTCACTTAAAACTTTCGTGTATGTTAAATAATTTAATATCACAATGGCAAGCAGGCAGATATTATTGCAATTGCAATTGTTTTATAGTTCTAGTTCTATAAATTAGTGTAGTCGTTTGGAAATTGATTATAATTTGTCAATCTACTCTTGTTCAATATTCACAAAAATATACTTAAACATATAATGATTGTTAGATTGCAATTTATACCATTTAATTAGTTCGATTGAAATGCAATATAATAAAAAATATTTCCTAAATATTGTAGTGAGAATGTTAATTATACGTCTATCGACCAATGTCGACACACATACGCCACTAACTGCATCATTGCGATGTTTGGTTTTTTTTTTCACTGAGGTGTTGGAGATAGTGTTTCCAGATTAAAAGATATTGGTTTTATAAAGGGAAGTACCGGCTTCAAAAATGGTGTACTATATCTCGTTCTCCTTATCACTCGGCCTTCAGATATATCTTCAACTGGTATGTTTAATTCGTATGTATGTATTTCAATCAAACCAATTGATTTACTACGAATCTTTCATTCTGTGGCATGGCAGTAGTCATGTTTCTTCTGTTATAAAAATAATTTTGTTTTCATAATTGAAGTGTGTCATAAATTTTCGTCCATCTGTGTTTAATATTAATAAACCTTGTACTGATAGTAATTTTTTTTTTTCCTGAACCATTTTCTTCTTTAATTTGTTGTAGTTTTTTATTTTAATACAAATACATAAATCTGAATAATTACAAGTAAAAATTAACAGTAAATAATTCAGCCAATAATTGTGTCCCATTATTAACTAAAAATAAATTCTGTTTGTTTAAAATAATGTCAGACCCATACCCGTACCCGTACCTATATCATATTAATACATATTTCTTTAATTTTAATCAATTCACGAGATTAATATACAATAAATATTATATTATAAATGTAAAAACAAAAGTTGTTTTTAGAATATATATCCCGTATTAACATTTTGAAAATGCGTAGTTAGATGTTGTGTATATTAAATAAATATTGTATATATATATAAAGTTCATTTCTTCACATCAGACGCATTTTTATTATCATATATTTTAAGTTAAAAATACAGACAAAAAATACCTATTTTTAGAAAATATGGATCGTTAATTGTCGTCTTAAAAGAAAATTGCGTCTTTTCAGCGAGGATCACGCATAAATTACATTATGTTAAACCATAAATTTTGTTTTACATTTAAAATATTATTTACATTAATATAAAATGAATATATTATCTTTTTTTTTTTACAACAATAAGATGACGAAGAATGGAAAGTTTTTAAAACCTTTTAGTACATATTAAATATGTGTACTGTGTACTAGTTTATTTAGTTAAGTATAATATCATTTTGACCCTGAGATAAAAAACAAAATTGATTTAATAACCTAAAGTATATTTTTAGTTGGTAGTAGTCATCAATGCCAATTTTTTTTGCACAGCTGAGCTTTGCATTTGAGTTATCTTATCTGAAAGTGTTTGTGTACACCATTGTATAGGTCTGTGTATGTTGTTCTAATATTTATCTATAAAAGTTTCAATTTGTCCTATTTTAACAAAATATTTATTGTCTACACAACGTCAACGTCTCTGGGATACAATACGAGTATAAACATGTGTATAAAACTTTATTTAATTTACATATATAGTTTCATTTGTTTGTTCATATAAATTTAATAACACAATAATACACAATTATATTAATGTACGTCTTTTTATAATTGTTTTTAGGCGGTCGCAATGAAATAACACGTTATAGTAGCGAGGATGTCTCAGGTAACGAATCCAATGAGGCTCCAAAAATGACGGAAACTGAACGTCAAGCGGACTTTAACCGTCATAAAGAGGAAATGCAAAAAAAAAGACGTAAGAAGAAACGAACAAGTTCTTCTTTGCATTCTTCAACATTTCAAGGTAAATTATATTAACAATGTTTAGTTGTTATAAATAGAACTGGATGATATAGCAATTATAATCAAGGTGAGTCGATTGTTATGGTGGCTATGGATCAGTATGTTTCGTTAACAGTTAGACCAATATAGAGCCTTTAGTAATAACATATAATTTCATATTAAAGAGACCTCTCCTTACCAAGAAGTATCAACTATTGAGATAGGTCGGTTTCTTATAATCTATATCGTTTTTTATTTTCTAATTTATACGATTTGGAAATACGACGAGGATATATTTATGTATTTTTATTACTTGTTTTTAATTTTTACGAATATATATTAATATATAATAATTTTTCAGTTGCATTTTAATATAGTATATCTTTGCAGTTCTTAAATTAAAACTAATTTGCATATTAATATCAGTTAAAGTGGTATAATAAAGACTAAAGACTAAAAAGAAATTTGTTTTCGTTTTTAGAGCTTTATAAACTGACTGGCGAAATACTTGGTGAAGGAGCTTACGCATCAGTTCAGACATGTGTCAACATCTACACGGATTTAGAGTACGCTGTTAAAGTGATTGATAAGATACCAGGGCATGCACGTGCGCGAGTTTTCCGTGAAGTGGAAACATTCCATCATTGTCAGGGACATCCAGGCATTTTGCAATTAATTGAGTTCTTTGAAGATGATGAAAAATTCTTTTTAGTTTTTGAAAAGGTAATTTAGTTAATCAGATCATCAATTAAAATGTTTAACTATTATAAAAATATTTTTTTTTTACAGATTAACGGTGGTCCTTTATTAACACGTATTCAGGAGCATATTTGTTTTTCCGAGCATGAAGCTGCTCAAATAATTAAAGAAATTGCATCTGGCTTAGACTTTTTACATAAGAAGGGTATAGCACATAGAGACTTAAAACCAGAAAATATACTGTGTGTATTTCCGGATAAGTTATGCCCAATAAAGATATGTGATTTTGATTTGGGATCTGGCATTAAATTCACAACTGATATATCTTCGCCAGCGGCTACACCACAATTATTGACACCAGTCGGTAGTGCGGAATTTATGGCACCTGAAGTCGTTGATTTGTTTGTTGGTGAAGCAAATTATTATGATAAACGTTGCGATTTATGGTCGTTGGGAGTTATAGCATATATTTTATTATGCGGCTATCCGCCTTTTTCAGGCAATTGTGAAGAGGATTGTGGTTGGAATCGTGGTGAAAATTGTCGTAAATGCCAAGAATTATTATTTGAGTCCATTCAAGAAGGTAAGCGAATACAGAAAACATCACAATTATATATATTAAAATATTCATTATTGTTAAAAAAATAATCACATTAAATATATTAATTAAAATATTTTAGGACGTTTTTCATTTCCCGAAGCTGAGTGGAAAGATGTTAGTGACGAAGCAAAAGATCTTATTTGTGGTTTACTTGTCAAGGAAGCACCAAAACGTTTAAGTGCTGCAGCTGTGTTAAATCATTCATGGATTAAAATATCCGAAGAAGAACCACTAAATAGTGTAAGAATGGAAAATCGTCGTAAGGCATTGCGAACACCTGGTAATATAAGACGGTAAGTTCAGTTTCATACTTAAAAATGATTATTTTTGATTAAAGATTTTTATATAGTAATCAATCAGCACGTGAAATTTCAAACTTTGCCGAATCAGCTATGGCTGTGAAAAGAGTGATTTTACAACATTTTTCTATGCGTTATGATTATATTAAGGAGCGTCCAAATATCTATCAACCTTCTCAGTCCTATTTAGATGCATATAGTGGTAATCCAGATACGAAGCCTAATTCACCAATCAAAGCGCCATTGAAAAGTCGTTCAATGAATACGACCTCGAGTGGTAATCGTTCTACGTATGGAGTTAACAAAAGAAGCAGCAATTATACGCAACGGCAATCGATCAATAAATATGCTAATAGCAATACTTTAACACCTTCTCGTAATACATCGAGTATTTATAATAGCTCTTCAAGTTATAAAGGACTTAATGTACACGAAGAATATGATGACGATGAAGAAGAAGCGTTAGAGGAGTTTGGGCGTTTAGATGAAGATGATGAATGGGCAAAGGGAAAATTAATACGGAATACCACTGACGAAATTGTTGAAGACAAAAATGCTGAGGTTGATAGTTATCATCATTGGCGTGAACTAGAAGATGACGATTATGAGGACGATGAGTATGATAATGAGTTTCAAAGTTCCTGGCAATATGGTGCTGACGAGCAGTACAATTTAATTCAACATCAAAAATTAAAGAATGAACAGTTTGGAAATGATGAAAATTTTGATAAAATTGTTATAGTTGATGATGAATTGAATATGAATGATAGAAGTAATGTTATTAATGATGATAATTATAAGATTGATTTAAATAACTTGGACAAGCAAAATGACTTTGCTGGCACAAGTATAAATTGTAATTTACATAATAATATTAATAACCATGATTTGAAACAAAATATCAGCAGCAATGGAGATAATGTTAAAAATAAATTGTTATCAAATGAAGAAGATTCATTAAGTGATATTAATTCTGTAACTATCAGCAATACCACCAATATGAATATTATTAATAATATAAACAACAATAGTAGCAAAATTAATAATAAAGATGAAAATTTATCTGAAATAGTAACAACAATAGTAAATTCATATGATAATAAAAATGCTAAATTATTGGATAGTATTAGTGATTTAAAAGAAAAGCTACCTGAAATTAATGAGACTGCAAATATTGGTATCGACTCAACTGCAGCAAAAGAGATAAAAGAAATGAAGCAAACTACGAACACTCCAACTGAAACAATAACATCAGTTTTGTACCCACCAAATGAAATTGAAAAAATATCCATACCAGTTACACCGCAGATTGAGTCGATGTCAATTGGAACGACTTTTGGCAATCAAGAGCAAGACAAACTACAACAAAATCAATTAGCTCAAGAAGAAACATCGCAATATAAACGTTCACCTAAAAACAAGCAACAAAACCGTAATGTATATTTTGCTGCTGCAGATGATTATTATGGAGATGATGTTTACCAAAATTATGATGCATCTGACGAAGAAGTAGATACATTTAGAAAACCATATCATACCTATCCTAAACGACAACAGAATGGGAAGCGTTATATGGGTCAACGAAAACACCAACATAATGAACAACATTCGAATGAAAATTGGCGTTATCGAGGACAGAATTATGTTGATAACCAACAACAGAAACAAAATTCCTTCCGTCGTTATCGACCAAACAATTCTGCTGGTTACTATGATAATCAGCAGCATAATTATCTTGGCAGCTTTTCACATAGTGGATCACAAGCACAACGCACCTATGTATTGCCTAGTTATTATCATCAACAGCGCAACATCGGTGGAAGTGGCAGTGGCAGCGGTGGTGGTAGCAGTGGATCACCACCATCAGATGATAATATAACTAATAATTCTAACAAAATACGTAATTGGCGTAAAGATTGTATCTATTCCTCAGTTCGTAATTGCGGTATGAACTCATCACCACAATATCAAAATAATTATCAGCATTATCAACAACCGCAATACCAACAACGTTACTCACCACCTGCGGTTCATCAACAACAACCGCGCATTGGATCTGGACGCTTTTTCCATTCTAACACTTATATGCATCCAAAAGCCGTATATGGTGAAGAACAGGTTGTAACAGGACCACTAGGAATTGGTCTTTCACCACCAAGTGAAAGTTTGTTGTTACAACGCCGCATGCGTATGTCTGCAACTAATAATAGTGGCGTTGGTGGACCCCATCAGCAGCAACGTAACGATTTAGCGGTCAGTGATTTTTGTCAGTCAGCTGCAGCAAACGGTTAGGTATGTGTTTAGGGTGTTAAATAAAAAAAATTTTTTTTTTCTTTTTTTTTTTTTCTAAATTGTAATATTTCAAAGAGCTTCTTTAATAAGATAATCATATTAAAATTTTTTGATTTCAAGTATTTCTTTAAAAGCTCTGGTTAAGAATTGGTTATTTAAAAAGAAATTCAATTAAAATATTTAGATTTATATGAACGACATTCATTAAAGAAATATTTAGCGTTTCTTTATATTTAAATAAATGTTATATCATTGAGTATTTTTTAATCGAAAAAATTTAATATGTTTGTTTTGTAACATACATCAACTGTTGTTAATTTAATTAAAAGCTACGAAATGCTAAAAGTCGTTCGACAAAAACAATTTTTTTTATATAGATAAAATAAATTTTTTACCTTGTTTAATAAATTATAATTTTCAAATTATAAATTTTCTCAAATATATACAATTTTCTTCATTTTTATACAAGTATAAATAATATTTGTAAAAAAAATTAATATTTTCTTTTACTTATTACTTGTCATCTTTAGCCCCTTACAATATGCAACAAAAAAATTTATAATTCTGGTAGTCTCAGTTTTGAAAATAATAACTTTAAACAAACCATACTTTTTGTACGTTCATAACTTTCCATTTTTAAAAAATTTTGACCATTTTATAATTAAAATTTGTATAATTAATTATTTTCTTCGCTGATTTATGTAAAGAAAATATTAAAAAAAAATATTCATGAACTTATAGAACTGTTTTTATTTTTAAAAAGGGGGAATATATTTTACTTACAAGCAAAAAACATTTTATTGCCAAAAAAAGAAAAAAAATAAAAAACCTTAAAAAATAAATGTTAAAGAAATATGTTTTTATTGGAATTGTTATACAAAACAAAGAAAATTTATTAAACAAATACTAATAAGTAATAAAACAACTAAGAAATTATTCCTACACAACATTTACACTAAATACATTTTTAAATTTTTTTTCTATTAGTAGACAATCTATATTGTCTTACCAAAAAAAAAAACGAAACAAAACTTTGTTATATTAATTTTTTTATTTAATTATGAAATTTCTGATTTTTTTAAAGTTGTTGGTAAAATTTTTTAATTATTATACTATTTATTTGCCATTATTGAAAAAGTATAATTGTATTTTATTTAATTTTTATAGCTTCTTAAAAAATTGTAAAATATTTTAATTGCTAGAATAATGTTCTAAGCATAATATTTCCGGTACAATAAATTATATTGAAATGCTTAAAAGAATATTTAATACAAATATGTATTGTCTTGTCTCTAACACTTGTCTTGTTCAAAAATTTGAACTTCGATGAGATTCTAAAGTATTCAAAGCATATAAAGTCCAGTAAAGAGCACGCAAATACAAACATATGTAAGACATTAAAAGTAGTCTTGCAAATCAATAACTAGCTTGCAAAATAACAATTTTCAAAACGGCATTTGAAATGGACAATTTAATTTAATATTTCGTAATATTCAAGTAAATGAATTCTGTAAGTGTAAACAAAACAATATCGTAGTATTGTAAAATAATTTTTTTTTAATATAGTTTTTGCATTTGCCTTTTTTGGTTTGTGTTTCCAACACAATCATCAGCTTTCAATTCGAATCAAATGTATGAATTTCGCAGTGAAAAAGAGAAGTATGAAGTAAGAATAGATCACCAACGGCTATAATAAAAACGCCATTAACAGAATAAACTAAACACCGCTGCATAAGTTAAATTTAAAATATTTTAGTCTTCAAATTATAGTATCACGGCATATCAAATTTTCAAATGCAAAAACAGACAGATGTCCTGTGATAAACTGTTTATGATAGAACTTAAAATGCATTTAAAATTTCTTTTATATGTTTACATATATATAATATCGTAAGTGCATGATTGCATATATTCAATTTGATGTGTAGAATAGTTTTGCATACTTTTTTGATAATAGTTGATGGATGTTGATGTTAATAATTACAGAATTACAATGAAATTTTTATGTGAAAAAGAGAGGCACTTGTTTATTGAAATTATTTTCATATGGTCTTAACAATACTTTTTCTATTTACTACTTAGTGTTAATTTATCCAGCAACTTTTCATATTATCGGTTAACCAACACATACATAAAATACACATTGTACAAAAAATCCTTATAAGATTAAACTAATATTCTTTGTTGAAATTGTAAAAAATTTAATGCTAATATGTTTAGTTTGTATCATCTATAAAAAGTAACTATTTTTATACATAAAGTATCTTATATTTATATCATATCGAAAGTCGATTGAACTTTGTTAAAAGTAACAAGATATTTATTTAAAGAAACTATGAAATTATAATATAATGATAAAAATATTTTATTTCAATCAGGTATTGATTTATTAATCAACTTTGAAGTACGAATGTTTATAATTAATAGAAAAGTGTAAAAGCAATTTCTCTAAATATTGAGAATAAAAATTATTATTATCAGAAGTCATATAAAAATATGTAATATTTCATGTAACAAGGATCTAACAGACGAGATCAGTTTATGCGGTGTATACATCTAAGTATCTTTCTGTAATGATAAGTTGATTGATGAAGTAATACAAAACATATATTAAAGAAAAAACCATTGTCTCATATAAATAATTGAAATCGAATGCTAAACATTGTTAGTAGTTGAAGTGCAATATTTTATGTAGTATATCTACTAAGTCTGATTAGTTTTCGATGCGATTATAAATGAAAAAACTGTTTAATTCTTATTTTGCTATATTTTCGAAATTAATTTCTTGCACTTGAAAATTTTAGTGGTTTATTATGTGATATTAAATTGTAAAATTATGTATAAATTTTAATCTAACAACTATATGAAGAATTGCTGCAGCTTGGAACAAATTCTCCATAGTTTGCAGATCTAACTATATAAATACCTAAAAACAAAACGTACTGTTAAAATGTGCCATCATAATTTTCTTCATCTAAAAATGCATTTTATTTTAGTAAAATATTTACAGAAAAGACAATGCTCAAGTGTGTAAAAGAAATTTCAAAATATTTCATAATTAAATGAAAAGAGAAATATTTAACTTTTCTTTGGTAGGAATAGTTTAGAGCAAATAACGATTTATTTCTAAAATTATTTTCACTATGAAACCGAAACCCCATTAATTTTTAAGATAAACAAAAATCCTCAATGTTCACTACTTTTTCCATTTTTAAAACAATACAAAATAATAAATAAAAGAACAGAACAATGTAGAAGAAATGTAATTACTTAGCAATCCCTACTTATTTAAGCATAAAATGAAAAAAAAAAAATCAATAACCGATAAAGATTTTAAATTTTGTAAGAGAATAAATATCGAAAAGTATATATTTATACAATATTTGACAAAAAAAAAGTCTTCTCATCAAGTTTTTATCTACAGCATTCTTTAACATCGTTAAGTTGCTCTCGCACTTTTTAAATGTATGTTTCATTATAATATTAAGTTAAACATTTATTAACTTTTAATTAACAAATATGTGTGAGTGAGTATTTGGTTTTTATTTGTTTGAAGTCAACTTAAGTTAATTAAAAACGAATAAAATAAATTTGTATCTTAAAGATGCAAAGTGTAAAACGAAAAATACTTTTGTTAAAAACATTGGGGTTTTTGTCACCTAAATTGGAGTGATTATGAGTTTAAAACGAAAAGTTAATACGAGAATATAAAAATATATATAAATTATAAAAAGGAGAATGTTTTTAAAGTTTAAGCAACTGATAAATCTAAAAAAAGTTATTGTTTTATACATTTCAGCAGAAACAAACAGAGAGTAAATAAAATGCAGAGAATGCAAAAAAACTTTAAATAAAATGTGTTTTCAATTTAATATATATATTTTTTTTAATTTTTGTAGTTCATTTTTCGAAAGTCTTCTAAAAGGATATGTAAGGAGCGTATATCGCCCTTTATATATCGGAAAACAAGGAGCTGTAATCTGTTAGAATATTATTTTATTTATATATTTATTTATTATATATTCTCAACAGGAACAATGGCACCATTTTTCTACTTAATCTTTATTTTTTAGATTGTTCAACATACTGACTTAGTCCTTTAGTTGGTTCAATATTTGGAATCCTAAAAAAATTTGAGATTACGAATGGCCACAAGATTCCAACAAGATTCGGCACTGGTTTTGGTCTCATAAAACTTCTGTGAACCACGAATGGTTAAAAAATTATGTTCCACACTTCATTTCGTTCACATAATGGCTTTCGAACTCGACAGATGCAAATTCAATGTACTTTTCCATCTGGGCTATATTGGAGAGCAAAAAGTGAGGTTTAAAAATATGCCAGCATGGATGGATGCGCTGAAAAAAGCCATTGTTCAGAAATGAACCAAAATATCGAAAGATCACATTCGTGAAGCATGAAACTCATTCTTTAACCGTTTGAAAGCCATAGTCAAGGTGAAGGCAAAAAGTGGTCATCTCGAGCTAGAGTGAATGGATTCTGAAAATTTGGTTATTTCCACAAATTTTTGTAATTTAAATTAATAAAAAATAATTTCACACAAAAAAGATATGGTCGTTTGATAAGCATCATAACACTTCAATCGCCTTACCCTATATGTTATTACACATTTTATATTGTCACCATATATATGAGATTTCAATTTTGATTCAAAGTTTTTTATAAAGGTAGTTAAGGGTAATTAAGCTTCGGCAAATCTAAAGCTAGCATTGTATATTATTATTTATCATAATATATAACATATAAAATTTTGAAGCTAATGTCGGATACTATAATACTATTCTTTTTTAGTGGTTTTTGGGGAAATGAATAGAAGAAAATATATTTTAATTCGAATAAAATCGTTTATTTTTGTGACTGATTTAATATTAAGGCGTTGCTTATTACATTTTGACTATATACATATTTTCGGGGACTTTATTTCCTCAGAAGTATAAATTATATAAAACTAAATATAACAATTACTGACTTATAATACAAAATTTCTGAATAAACTATTCAAACAATGAAATATTGTCTAAAACATAATGCATGAAATATTAAATTATTTAATAATAATTACAATATATTAAATATCTACATATAAAAATTTATTTTAATTTTATAGTATAGAAAAAATAACAATTCAGAATACACAATAATTAAAAGTAGTTGATCTATGCTATTATATTAAACTTTGGATGAGGTTCGTGGTTTACGATAATAAAATAGTTATGGCATCAATTAGATCACTTATTACTGGTTTCATTGCTTTCGCAAGTAATTTGATTTGTTGCTTGGGGCTGCTCTTGTTGCTGTGTTTGAGTCTTAATATTCTCCATTTCAATATCAGAACAATTGTCGGAATTCGATAATGCCGAATCCATTGAAGTAACAGTAGTGTTCACTTGCTTGTCACTTGTAGCGTCGGGAAGCAAGGGTTTCTCGATTATGGGTTTTTCTTCAACTTTAATTTGGTTTTGTACAACAAAATTATTACTATTGATGTCTTCAATTGCTTTGCGCAACTGGAAAATATGAGAAAATATTTATAGTTGTTGGTAAATCTTTTACATAGCGTTAAATATAATATATTACCTCTTTCAGACCAACCACACCCACAAGGCGACCAATTTTTGTGACATAGGCATGATTTATTCCCACCATGGAGAATAAAGAGTGCACCTTAAGTATCGAAGTACGTTCGACCAATTGAAATGGTGATGGATCGATGTGTATATTTGCTTTTTCGAGATCAATAGGTTTTAACATTTCTTCCATTTCCCATTTTTTCTGATCTTCGGGTGACATGTCGATAACCCGTTCACGTGGCTAAAGTAATAATACATTTATTTATAAAATTAAATATAATCTATGTGGTAATAAATATTAATATTATATTTAAAAATAAATTAAATCGATGATCATTAAAATTTGACGATAATCACTAAAAGTCTGATAATCTCTAACATATATTGTGAATATAGAGTTTGAACCACTTGTGAATATACTGAGAATTTGCTGAACTTTTGTTTTGTGAATTTGAACAAGTAAATTGTAAAATTATGTGAATTATATGCAGAATTGCTACAGTTTGTAACAAATTCTCCATAGGTTGCAAATTTAACTATATAAAGACCTAGCTGACGATTTTGCTCTGCTTTCTATTGATCGTAATGAAAAGGAATCAATTAAAATTCTTCAACTTGCTGTAAGTAATACCTTCATCTCGAAGAACCAGTGGCGATCAAAGTTCAACAATATAAAATCTAAAATTGACTCGAAATACCAAATGTTTATACGACAATACATATATTAAGGTTTGGTTAACTCTTGCTAGTCTATTTTGTGTGTCATATTGACTACCGTACTCATTTGAATTATATGTAGGTATAATAGTTATATCCTAAGCAATATCTGAGCCTATCTAAGCCTTAATATAAGTAAAATACAATACTAATATAACCTTTGCCATTAAATACGTATTGCGTATTGCAAAGCAAAATAGTAAAATGGTAAGCGCTTTATTAATTTATTTATATTCGAAGCCGTTTTTTCCCTACAAGATATACAGAAAGTGTTCAATTTTAATAACATTCTGATATACATATGCACATACATATGTAAATATAAATTAGTTTTTAGTTTGTACTTTTTCTAATATTATACGTACATACATTAAGACCGAAAAGTTTTCGGAAATTCTCATTTAAAATTCGCGCGCTGTATATTTTTCGATATTTTAAGTTTATGTAGTTTGGCAGC